AAAAATGTGGTTTTTGTTTTGTTTGGAAATTTTAGTTTTAACTAAGTTTTTCCCCCCTAAGATGGGCTTTCTCTTGTAGCCTTGGCTGTCCTGAAACTTGCTCTGTAGAGCACGCTGGTTTCAAACTCACAGAGATCTGCCTGCCTCTGCCTCCCAAGTACTAGGGTTAAAGGTGTGTGCTACTGCCCAGCTTTCGCTAACTTTTTAAAGACGCCTCAGGTGAGGAGAAAAAAAAAAAAAAGAAATCTCAGTTTTAAAAAAAATCCAATGCAAAAAATATAGTTCTTGCTTAGGCATATTGGCTAATTGGTAGTAAACAAGGGAGCTCCCTTTACCTCTTATTCTGTTCCTCCCCCTTACTCTACGGAAGCAAGCTAACTGAGCATTTTCAGTTCTGATCCCGTCCATCTGTAACTCTCCAGCCAAATAAGATGTCCTGTTTCCCCATTGTCCTGCCTTGAGTCTAATTCCTCAGTGTTCCCAGCTGCCACAAAGTTCTCTGCAGGCTTACAATGTAGGAAGTGTTTTATTGTTTCATAACTGTATCTACCTCTTTTATCTTTAAGGAGAGTGAGTCTCCTTTAAGAACTTGGTACAAAGGTTGAAGAGATGGGTCCTTGGTTAAGATCCATTGCTGCTGTATCAAGAAAACCATGAACCCAAGCTCCCAACTTGTCAGGTAGCTCACAGAAGATTGTAGTAACTTTAGCTCCAAGGGATCTGACACTCTTTTCTGGTCTTTGAGAGATCCTGCACACACACACACACACACACACACACACACGGACACGGACACACGGACACGGACAGACACGTAAATAAAAATTAAAAAATTAAAAAGAATTTAATGTGACATGCTGTCTATTTGAAAATCTGCATTTGATTCTATTCCCTGTGTTTTTACATTTTTCTTATTTGGTGCCTTGATATATAGGCACTATCTGTTTGAAATGTCTTTGTATCCTTTTGTGTAAATGCCTTAGGAGTATGTTCTCTGATGAACGAACATTCCAGATATCAATTTATACTTGTCCCTAAGTGCATTATCAACAATGACATTTTTAAGATAAAACGCATGGCTTCTGAACAAAAGATGTATCCCTTAGGTACAAGAAGAGATTGTTTGGGAAGAACTCACTTCTATCATGAAAGTACTCTTGTACTAAATGCTACAAGAATCATCTTTAATGCTCTTAAACTTCCCAAATGTCAGGGCATGTGGTATTTCAATCTATTTTAATCCACTAGTTTGTTATTGCTAAAAAAGATGTGTGTACCCACATACATGGGAGGGGGTATTTAACCTATGAAACACCTTTTGTGTGTCTAGCAAGGCTCTTGTGTCCGTCTGATACAACTAGCATCAAGCCCCTGGAAAAAGATTCCATATGTTCATGGTATCGATGTACATCCTAATAGAGTGGATTAGCTTGGACTTTGCCGGGGGGGGGGGGGGGGG